AAAGGAAGAAGGAAACGGTTGCCAAAGAATCACCGAAACTCTGCCAAGTTTGGATTCCAAAGTCTGGACTTATGCAAAATCAGCATTCAGAGCCCGTTAAGACTCCATACCCGCAAGGGGGTGGTTTTAGACGTGCGACTCCTGACATAACCTTGGATCGCTCAAGGACAAAAATAAATTGTCCTGAGAATGCCAACAAGGTTTTACACCCCCAGAAGAAGACGCATTCACCAAATGATATCGTCATACCTGGGAGGTCATGCCAACAGACGATACGATTTTTTGGCAATCATACCGATGAGTCGTATTATCAAGTTGGGGTTGTGAATAATTTTCGAAAGAGAGTTATTCGAGAAATAAACTCTCATTGTTCCTGTGCGCGACTCGTTAAAGCAGCATTATCAGAATGTGACTGTTTCAAACGAGAATCCATCCCACGAAGAGTCTCTGTATTGTCAAAGCCTAAACCGAGATATTTTCGCAAAAGAAAATCAGCTGCCCAAGATGATGAATTCCCTGAAGTCACCATCAACGTGGTTGATAAAAGGAAGTCTAAGCGGCATTCAAATGACTCAAATCCCGACTTTTCCCCGAGAGAAAAGGTCAATCCAAGAATTGCTCAAAGGATGTCTCGACTCCAATTAGGAGCCATCAGACGTAGAGATTACAAAAGAATGCAAGAAGGAATGCCCTCGGAGGATGAATTCTCGGACACTTGTTCTGCAATCGCTTCTGATGATACAATGTCTAGCACGGGACAAACCAGAGAAGTACTCACGATCACCTCTGATCAATTTGCTCAAATGCTTCAAGAAGCTCTAGCGAAGCAACGTGAAGAAATCAGAGCTGAGATGAAGATAGAGATGGAGTTAGCTATTCAACAAATGAGAGAAGTGCTAACTCAACGGCCTCAACCTCCTGAGTCCAGTCAGCGAGCTGAATCCAGCCGTCACATTCAGAATGTGGCAGATGATAGTGATCCAGAAGTGGATGAAGTCATCTTTGCTGATACACCTCCCAATAGAAATAACGCTGGGGATGGTTTAACACACCCTCCCAATAACGATATTGGGGGTGGTTCAATGGCACCTCTTACAGGGGAAGGTCTAACTCATTCTCCTCAACGTCCTTCAAATGAAGACATAGACGATGACGAGAAAATGAAAGAGCTTGAAAACAAAATCAACGCTTTGATGACGGTTCAAGAAGTGAAAAAAATGGGTATTCCATGTCCCTATCCAAGAGAATGGAATTCAATACCGTACCCGGCAAAATTCAACATGATTAACTTCACACCGTTTGACGGGAAGAACTCGCCTATTCAGCACTTGATTTATTTCAAGTCTCATTTGAGTATGATCTCCGGAAATAAGGCTTTAATGGTCCGGTCATTCGTTGGCACCCTTCGCGGGTCGGCATTCGATTGGTACCGACGGCTCAAGCCAGGGAGCATCAATTACTGGGATGACATAGAAAATTTATTCCTCAGCAACTTCTTCGATGATGACACCGAAGTGTCAATCGTAACCCTTCTGGATGAAAAACAAAAAGACGGGGAGTCAGTCGACAATTTTGTCAAGCGCTTCCGTAACAAGGCAATGAATTGCAGAGATCCTGTTACAGAGGAGTTCATTCTGCAAACATGCCACAATAATCTCTCTATCGATGTCCTGGAAGCTCTGGGGGTCGTACCATCCAAAACTTGGAAAGATTTGAAAATGCGCGGTGAACAAGCTGAACACTTTCTTAAAAGAAAGAAAGCTGAGAGAATCCAACCGACGACATCTGCAATCACTGGGAACGCGACTCCCGATCCGAGGTTTCAAAAGGAGTATTCTTTCGAAGATGATGAAGCTCTAGCCATCTTGGAATACCTCCTCGCCAATGATAAAATCGAGCTACCACCTATTAAAGATCAGGAGGGAGCTAAGAGAATTACGGATCCAAACTACTGTGCGTACCACAGAAGGGTTCTTCATCCCACTGAGATTTGCTTCGGACTCAAAAATAAAATCCAAGCATTAATTGACTCCGGCGTCATAATGGCGAAACAAGCCGATTAAAGACGACCTTACTCCATTGGATACACGAGTATAAACTGTTTCCCCAACTCCATGGGATACACGAGTATAAACTGTTTTCCCTTAACTCCGAAGAGTATACGAGTATAAACTGCTTCTTCATGTAACTCCGAAGAGTATACGAGTATAAAATGCTTCTTCATGTCACTCCGAAGGGTATACGAGTATAAACTGCTTCTCATTCCTCCAACCGGTATACGAGTTTAAACTGCCCCCTGATACTCCAATAGGTATATGAGTCTAAACTGTTTCCCACTCTTGACGGGTAGTTCCTAGAGAATTTTTTTTACATGTAATATTCTTAAGGATAACCCAGTATGATGATAGACCCAGTTTCACAAAGGAAGCTGGGGGTGGATGGTTCATGTAACGGGAAGTTTTCGAAAGAATGCTATATGTAATTTTCTTAGGGATAACCCGATCATTACAAACAAGGTGATAAACACTACATCCCCACGGTGATTTCCGAATATTCTTTTGTTGAGATGAGATTTGATCACTCCTTTAGATCAATCTTCTCTCACAAAACTCATACTTGGTCAAACCTTTAAACAGTTAGGACCAAAGCCAAAATCCCCTCTCGATTCCTTCTATGAACGAGAGGTCCACAAATTGAACGATCAAACCTTTAAACAGTTAGGATCGTCTCAAATCCCCATGTTGGTCAAACCTTTAAACAGTTAGGACCAAAGCCAAAATCCCCTCTCGATTCCTTCCATGAACGAGAGGTCCACAAATTGAACGATCAAACCTTTAAACAGTTAGGATCGTCTCGAATTCCTTTTTGGTTAAACCTTTAAACAGTTAGGACCAAAGCCAGAATCCCCTCTCGATTCGTTCCATGAACGAGAGGTCCACAAATTGAACGATCAAACCTTTAAACAGTTAGGATCGTCTCACTGTCCATTTGGTCAAACCTTTAAACAGTTAGGACCAAAGCCAAAATCCCCTCTCGATTCGTTCCATGAACGAGAGGTCCACAAATTGAACGATCAAACCTTTAAACAGTTAGGATCGTCTCAAAACCCTATTTGGTCAAACCTTTAAACAGTTAGGACCAAAGCCAAAATCCCCTCTCGATTCGTTCCATGAACGAGAGGTCCACAAATTGAACGATCAAACCTTTAAACAGTTAGGATCGTCTCAAATTCCCATCTTGGTCAAACCTTTAAACAGTTAGGACCAAAGCCAAAATCCCCTCTCGATTCGTTCCATGAACGAGAGGTCCACAAATTGAACGATCAAACCTTTAAACAGTTAGGATCGTCTCAAAACTCCAACTTGGTCAAACCTTACTACAGTTAGGACCACAACCAAAATCTCCTTTCGATTCATTTTTTGCGAACGAAGGGTCCACTTTTGAATTGAGTAATCAAACCTTATGACAGTTAGGATTATTCAAACCAATCCAGATTCTCTAAGTGGAGATCCCACTTTGAGTTTCTTTACTCCAGGAGATAGAATATAAAATTCTTCCTCTCCATCATCGGGTTCATCTCTACCAACAAACAAGAGACCAGGAGATAGAATATAAAATTCTTCCTCTCCATCATCGGGTTCATCTCTACCAACAAACAAGAGACCAGGAGATAGAATATAAAATTCTTCCTCTCCATCATCGGGTTCATCTCTACCAACAACGGGTTCATCTCTACCAACAAAAAAAGAGACCATAATACTCCAATAGGTACACGAGTCTAAACTGTTTCCCTACCATCAACAGGAAGTTTCTGGAGAATATCACTCAAAATATTCTTAAGAATAACCTGGCTACCTCCCAACGGGTATACGAGGTTAAACTATTTCCCGAGAACTCAAAATATACATGAGTATAAACTGTGTTCCTACGAAGACTGATACAGTGATTAACAATGCGGTATCAATTTGATGACAAAAGTTGAATTCACAAGTATAAATTCCAGCTTCAATTCAAGATCTCGACGACGGTCAAACGATGAACGCCATGCCGAAAGAACCTTAGCTATTCTACAAAGCACTGAATAGACTGAGAGACAAAGAGATCAAGTGTTGAAGCCATCTACAGGTTCTTCTATACGATCTACTCAACCAAGCATTGAAAGGATCATAAGTAAGACCTATCTTATCCAAAGCATCCCAGAACTCCTCTATAAAAGATTGAGTCTGGAATACTTTGGAGGGGGTATCTGTAGGCGTCAAAAAATGCTGAGAGATATTCTCGCGGGCCGAGACAGCAAACACTGTCTCGCCCGCCGAGACAGCAAATACTGTCTCGACAGCCGAGACAGCAAATGCTGTCTAGCGAGCTGGTTTTCCACCAACTGTTCCTAGGGGCTATAAATACCCCCGAAGGCCATTTTTGAGAGGGGGATCATAGAGCATCCAGAGGCGGATCATTTTGAGCATATTTTCGAGCATTCCAGAGCAGAGAGAGCAGATTTGAGTTTTCATACAACGCCTTGAAATTAAGCTTTGACTTGATTTTAAGAAGAACGATTATCTTACTTCGATAAGATATCGTTTCAAGTTCTCACTTCGATAAACGAAGTCAGAATCATAAACCCCTCACGATTCGATCAGAATCAGTGATTTGGTGGTCCACGAGTCAAAGCGCTCCCGGCACAGGCAAAGATCCCACGCAAGCAGCGATCCAAACAACGATCCTGCGTTTGTTTCCCAAGAGTTGTAATTTTTCATTTTGTTGTGTAAAAGAGGTCTTATAAAAAGACTATTTCTTTGAATTTTTTTTAATCGAACGAAGATATAATGAATTCCACAGCAAAACCAACTTTTGACGCAAACACTAACATGCCAATTTTAAACAACTTGAGACATATAAATGCTATGATAAATAATTGGGGGTATACAAGTACAAAGGGAGCGAAACTAAACTATAAGGTATTTAAATGCTATTTAGCCCAGCAAGAAACTGAAGTAACTGTCATTACCTGATCCTCATCTCCTCCGCTAACACCCTCTTAAACCCTCTCTCTACCTCCTCAAAGGGATAAACCCCGCCTTTTAAACGATGTCATTTCTCTCTCCCTCCTCAAAAAATGGCAGCAATCTCAATCCAAAGACCTGACAACGCTCTCTCCCTCTCTCTCCCTTCTAACCCTAAACCCCTCAAGCCCATCATATGCCTCAGCCTCGCCCCTGATTCCAACCCTCAGCTCTCCCTCAACAAAACCCACCACCAAATTCCCAATCCCGACCCCAATCCCGACCCCAATCAAGAAATCCGCCGACTCTGCGTCCACGGCGATCTTGACAAAGCCTTACTCATCCTCGACTCCTCGGGCTGCTCCCCATTCGATGAAGATGCCTACATTTCACTCTTAAAGCTCTGCGAATGGCGACGAGCGGTGCTCGAGGGCTCGAGGGTCTACTCGCACCTCAATCTGACGAATACCCAGTTGACCCTTCGCCTTGGAAATGCTCTGTTGAGCATGTTTGTGAGGTTTGGGAATCTGTACATTGCATGGGTGGTGTTCGGTAAAATGGTTGAGAGAGATATCTTTTCTTGGAATGTGATGGTTGGTGGGTATGCAAAAGCTGGATTTTTCGATGAGGCCTTGGATTTGTATTCGAGGATGACTTGGGCTGGGTTTATGCCTGATGTGTATACTTTTCCTTGTGTTTTGAGGACATGTGGAGGTGTTCCGGATTGGACTATGGGAAGAGAGGTTCATTGCCATGTTTTGAGATTTGGGCTTGGGTTGGAAATTGATGTTTTGAATGCTTTGATCACAATGTATGCGAAATGTGGTGATGTGATTACTCCTCGTAAAGTGTTTGACGGTATGCTTATCAGAGATTGTATTTCGTGGAATGCAATGATTTCGGGATATTTTGAGAATGATGAGTGTGTGGAAGGGTTGAGATTGTTTTTAACTATGCTGGAAGTTTCTATTGAGCCGGACTTGATGACGATGACAAGTGTAATCGCTGCTTCTTCGCAGTTGTGTTATAAGTGCTTAGGGAAGGAAATTCATGGATATGCTATAAAGAAAGGGTTCTATCAAGATGTTTCATTGTGCAATTCATTGATTCAAATGTACACTAGTTTTAGAAATTTGGACGAAGCAGAGAAAGTATTCTCTAGAATGGAGTCTAGAGATGTAGTCTCATGGACAACAATGATATCAGGTTATGAGAAAAACGAAACTCCAGAAAGAGCTTTGGAAGTGTTTGAACAGATGAAACAAGATAATGTGAACCCAGATGAGGCCACAATAGCTAGTGTTCTCTCTACGTGTGCTTGCTTGGGCCGCCTTGATATTGGGATGGAATTGCATGAGCTAGCAAGGAAAAAAGGGTTAGTGTCATATGCAACAGTTGGAAATGCGCTTCTTGATATGTATTCCAAGTGTAGGTGCATCGATAAGGCTGTAGAAGTCTTTAGAAGAATGACCGAGATAGATGTGATATCTTGGAGCTCAATAATCTCGGGCTTAAGGATCAACAACAGGAGCATCGAAGCTTTAAGCTTCTTTCGCCAAATGCAAGTCGATGTAAAACCCAATTCGATCACATTGATTGCTGCACTCTCTGCCTGTGCTTCAGTCGGAGCTCTGTTGTGTGGAAAGGAAATCCATGCCCAAGCTTTGAGGACAGACCTAGATTTTGACGGGTATCTGCCCAATGCGCTTATTGACCTCTATATAAAGTGTGGCAGAATGGAATATGCTTTGAAAAAATTTGATGTGCACCTTAACAAGGATGTGGTATCTTATAACATCATGCTTGCTGGCTATGCTGGCAGAGGGCAAGGAGATCTTGCCATTGAATTGTTCAATCAGATGGTGGAATTTGGAGTTCATCCTGATGAAGTTACATTTGTAGCCCTCTTGTGTGCTTGTGGCAGTTCTGGATTGCTGACACAAGGTTGGAATTATTTTAAGACTATGGAGCAAAATTTTGCTATTTCCCCCAATCTCAAACACTATGCATCGATGGTGGATCTTTTGTCGCGGGCGGGGTGCTTGGAAGAAGCACACCAATTTATAAAAGATATGCCTATCAAGCCTGATGCTGCAATCTGGGGGGCTTTGCTTAATGGTTGCAGGATTTATCGTCGGGTTGAACTTGGTGAAGTTGCTGCGAAAAGGATATTTGAGTTGGACTCAGAAAGTGTTGGATATTATGTGCTATTATGTAATTTATATGCAGATGATGGCAGATGGGATCAGGTGGCAAGAGTAAGGAAAGCTATGAGTGAGAGAGGGCTAATGGTTGATCCAGGATGCAGTTGGGTTGAGGTTAAAGGATCTGTTCATGCTTTTCTTAGTGGTGACGAGTCTCATCCACAGATAAACGAAATCCGTGCAGTCTTGAATGGACTTTATGATAGAATGGAGGTAGCTGGTTTCAATGTGTCAGAAAACAGACTCTCAAACCAGATTGAGGCATCAAAGGCAGATATCTTTTGTGGTCACAGTGAAAGATTAGCTGTTGGTTTTGGGCTCATAAGTAGCACTCCTGGGACGCCTATATGGGTAACAAAAAATCTTTATATGTGTGCAAACTGTCATAGCATTATTAAGTTGATATCAAAGATCGTTCGTCGAGAGATCACAATTAGGGATACTGAACAATTTCACCATTTCAGAGATGGCAAGTGCTCTTGTGGGGATGAGGGATATTGGGGAAGAAATAACGGCTAGTAGCAGCTGAGATATCTGCTAGTTTCATTGATAAACATAGAACATGCCAATGAGTATGACACAAAATACCTGGAAATGTGATTGCCAGCATTGAGAAGAAAACGGTACAGGGTCCTGGGCAATTTATTTACAGGATAAAAACATTATGTGATCTTGTCAAAGGAAAGGCTTACTTCTGTATACAGAGTGTTGTGGTGTTGTATAATTCTGGTGTACTATAATCTGTTTCTTGTTGTAGCTTATATGCCCAAAAAATTTCGTGGCATCTGTTTGTTTGTGCATAATAAAACTCCTGAAAAATGCTTTCATCACCTCTATTCTTCTTTTTCTTTCTATGTGCAGGTTATTGAATTAAGTTTCTGAGCTTGTTTTTTAAAGATATTCACTCTGGAAAGTACATTGCTTCTGCAAATATTGCCGATCTTAGGCATTCACTTTGTTTCGCTTACAAAAGGAATATACACTAACACTAATTGCTTGTAACGGGTAAAAGTTTTGAAGTTGGTAAAGAAATTTAATGCTACTAAAGGGTTTCCAAAAAGTCTGCGCGAGTTCTACCTCTTGACTGATTGGATTCAGATTTGTGTGCTTGAATTGAGGAGTTTATGCAGAGCAAAGAGAAATGCAGAAACTATCCGGGTTTCATATTCCGAATCATTTCTGATATGACAATTTGAAAGATGAATTTGGCTCTGCAAATGTCTCTAAGGGAATGATGTTATTGATCTTCTTCTGTCAAGTTCCTAGGAAATGCACAGACCTGCTTGTTTTGATACTATGTGCATTATCCATCTTGGGCAATTGAAGTTCTTTTATTGGGTGAGATATTGGGAGCTTGAAGGGCCTAGCAACTGGGCAAAAGTTGGGAGGCCCAAGGTACTCAATTTCTCTTTAGTAGGTTGCCCATGGAATTTTCAGTCTCATTTTGGTATGTTCCAATCCTACTTTGAAATATTTCTTTTCATTTATTACAGCTTGGTAGCTTCAATTGTCCATTTATAATAATATTCTCATTTCAAATCAATTCTGTAAATTTATCATGGATCCATTTACTGAAACAGGTTGTTAGGATAATATATCGTCATAATACACACTATCGTCATTCAGCCTTTGCTCATCAAATTGGTTTTTCTTAAGCCAAAGTTTAGCTATTATGCTTTACTGCTTTAGGATCTCTCTACACTTGTGGCATAGTGATAATCCATGGGATCGTATACTTCTACCGTGGCAGTTGGCAATAGTTTATACTTAATCCTCTTGTCATAGCTTAGGAGGGTCTTTGGGAAGCTTATAAGTTGGCTTTTGTGGCTTTTGGCTTTTCTGATAAAAATGCTATAGACATTATTTGGGTAGAATAGTAATTTTTTTGGTCAAACCTAGCTTATTTGGTGAGCTTAAAAGCTAATTTTTCAAAAGTTGGGGTAAACCGGCTTTTTAAAATGAGGCTTATAAGTCAACTTAATTTGGTATTTTACCAAACAAATAGACATGAAAAAACTAACTTAAAAGCTACTTTGACAAAAAAAATAGCTCCCCCAAACACCTTCTTAAATCTTTTCTCTTTCTTCAGACCTTGGATCCATGAAATACAATCTGGAAAATTTATCTTTACCGTAAAGAGATTAGTTCTTATGTTCAAACAAATTCTATGAAAACTCTAGGAATTCTACAATATTGATGTACAAAAATCAAAATAGTATTGAATTATGTTGAAAATGGAAATATGAGCTGTTGCTAACCTATAAATGCAACAGATACTTTGGACTTTTAGCAATTAGTATGGTTCATAAATTATTTTCATTTTTCTTACGTTGAATTTATAGAATACTTTACCATGAAAACCCAACCAACCAACCACACCATTCGGACACTAAACACAAAAGAAAATGCTCATGCACACATGTGCACAAATATAAACACGCGCGCGTGCGCACGAACAAGCACATGTTTTTGCATGTACTTTGGATACTAATTACTTTTAATCCCAGTTTAGTCTTTCCCGTAGAAGTTGGATTTAGTATCATAGGCTTTGCCTGATCAATGTCAAGACGTCAAAATTTTTTATTTCTGTTATAAACACTGGGTGGCCAACACATTAGCTTATGATTAATGTTTTCCATAAGAAAGTCACTGTTTATGTGATACTTGCCTGATCAATATCAAGAAGTCGAATATTTTTGTTTATGTTATGAACACTACTGTGTGGCCAACACGTTAGCCTATGATCAATATTGCTTTGTTGGAGTTGCGGAAGCTAGACGAGTAATTGATTTTAATTTTCGAGGATTGAGAATGGAGAAATTAGAAGGGAAATGAAAAGTTAGAAGGGAAGAGGCTAGCTTGGAGAAACTTTTGTTTTAATTGCTTCAATGCTTGTTTGCAACACTTACATCCATTGTCAATTTATAGGCACACATAAAACTATCTAGAGCATAAATATTTTACATGAAACATTTCAGAGTATTGTATAATATTTCTATCTTCTAGATATATCTTATTTTTGTCATATTTCTAGTCCTAGTTATTTCTAGAAACTTTTCAAATTACAAGATTATTGTAGAGAGTTCTAGAGAATTACAAATTACTTCTAACATCCCTCCTTAATTTGCAATTCCTAACTCATTTCTGAATAGTATAAACTTTTTGGAGGGTAATGCTTTTGTGAAGATGTCTGCTAGCTGCTCGTTTGTTGAGATGAACTCTAGCTCGATCCCCTTGACTTCAATGAACTTTCTGATGAAATGATGACGAATCTCAATATGTTTGGTTTTGGTATGGAAGATTGGATTCTTTGTCATGGCTATCGCAGACTTGCTATCACAGTAAAGAGTAGGTGGTGACTCTTGTTCTTGTTGTAGATCAGATAAAATCCTTCGAAGCCATATTGCTTCGCATGCGGCACTTGTAGCTGAGATATACTCTGCTTCTACAGAAAATAGAGCTATGATTTGTTGTTTCCTTGAGGTCCAGAATATTACCTTAGATCCTAGAGTGAAGACATATCCTAAAGTACTTTTACGATCATCAATACAACCAACCCTGTCACCATTAGTGTAGCCGACTAATGCATTATCTTCTTCTATTATGTATTTTATTTCCATACTCTTTGTACCTTGAAGATATCGAAGAATCCACTTTGCTGCTCCCTAGTGTAGCTTACTTGGATTGCTCATGAATATGGACATAATGCTTACAACATACAATATGGCTGGCCTTGTATTTGCGAGGTAGATTACCGATCTGACTAGGCTTCTGTAACTTGAAGCATCCACCTTCGGTGCTCCATCATTCATTGATAGCTTTTTATTTAGCAATACTGGTGTAGCTACTGGATTGCAATCCTTCATGTTGAACCACTTCAGAAGATCTTCATAGTACTTTTCATAATTGATGGATATTTCTCCTTAAATTTGTTTTACTTGTATTCCTAGAAAATATCTCATCAATCCTAAATTTGTCATCTCAAAATCATCTTTCATCTTCTTTTTAAATTCTTCAATCATCATGGTGTTAGTGTCACAATAAATTAAATCATCAACATATAAGCAAACAATAAGGAAGTCTGCACCTTTTTTTCTTCATATATAGAGATGGTTCACTTAGGCTCCTTTGAAATCCATGCTCGTAGAAGCAGTTGTCAATTTTGCTATTCCAAGCCTACAGTGCTTGCTTCAATCCGTATAGTGCTTTGTGCAGCCGATAAACTTTATTTTCTTCTCTTTTGACTATGTAGCCCTGTGGTTGCTTGACATAGACTTCCTCTTCAGGTTCTCTATTTAGGAATGCTGACTTGACATCTAGCTGAAATACTTTGAGCTTGAGCTGAGCTGCTATACCCAATATCGTCCTTACAGTCTCCGTACGAGCCACTGGGGCAAATGCCTCGTTGAAGTCGACTCGTGGTTGCTGAGAGTAACCTTTCGCGATCAAGCAAGCCTTGAGCTTTTGAATGGAGTCATCTTCATTGTACTTGGTTTTGTATATCCACTTAAGGCCAATGACCTCCTTTCCTTCTTTAAGATTGACCTAGCTCCTATGTCTTGTTCTGGATCATGTATATTTCTTCATCCATTGCTTTTCTCCAGCCTTCATCTTGAACAGCTTCTTCAAAATTCTGTGGTTCACAGGAGAAGAATGCTACATCACAAGGGTCATAAATATCTTAAAGTGAACGATCCTTCCTCGACAATGAATCTGTGTCTAAAGTTGATGCATTTGGAGATCTTGGACTAGGAGAATTTTAATGTGACATGACTCCCCTCCTTTCTTCTTCAATGATTCTCGGTGCTAAGGTTTGATGTGATTGACCATTACATGTTCCTACTTCATCAAAGATAACATCTCTAGAGACCACCAATTTGTTAGTATCCGGATTGTATAATTTCTAGGCTTTGGATTTGTCACTGTAGCCATAAAGATGAGTTTTTCTCCTCTTTCATCAAACTTTTCCTTTCTTAATTGTGTTGGTTTGTGTGCATAGGCGATACAACCAAATACCTTAAAGAAATCCACTTTCACCTTTCGCCTATACCAAGCTTCATATAGCGTCTTGTTTGGCACAACTTTTATTGGTGATCTATTTAAGATGTAGATTGTTGTACATATCGTCTCAGCCCATAGTTTCTTTGGGAGATTTTTACCTTTCAACATGCTCCTTGTCATCTCTACAATTGATCTATTTCTTTTTTCTACTACTATATTTTGTTGTGGAGTGTACCTTGTTGTTAGTTCCTTTTTAATTCCATAATTTTTACAGAAATTTTGAAATTCATTGGAGGTGAACTCTCCTCCACGGTTAGTTCTTTGAACTTTCAATTTGTGGCCACTTTGCTTTTCTACAAGAGCCTCAAACTCAATAAACTTTAAAAATACTTCCGATTTTGCTTTCAAGAAATATGCCCACATCATTCTGCTATAATCATTAATAAATAATAAGAAATATCTTCTTTCATTTAATGATGGGGTTTATGTTGGGCCACAGACATCAGATCGCACCAATTCTAATGGGGCTTTTGCTCCCCAAGATGTTTTAGTAAATGGTAAGCTATGCATTTTTCATAAATGCATCATTCACAAACTTTTTCTTCTTTATTTATGTGTGGGAGTTCTATCACCATATTCTTCATTTTAAGCAAATTTAGACTCTTGAAGTTTAAGTGATCGTATCTTTGATTCCATGATAGAGAATCGTTATTTTCTTCTTATTTGTGTGCAAGATTCTCTATAGACATTTTAGGGGAAAAACTTTGTTGGGGACCATTTTTATATTGGCCACTATTTGCTTATTCTTATCATCTGTT